TATATAGAATCAGGCCGGGCGAGGTGGCTCATGCCTGTAATGCTAGCACTTTGGGAGGCCAAGGCAGGCAGATCACTTGAGCTAAGGAGTTCGAGACCAGCCTGGCCAACATGGTGAAACCCTGTCTTTACTAAGAATACAAAAATTGGCCGGGTGTGGTGGCACGTACCTGTAATCCCAGCTACTCGGGATGCTGAGGCAGGAGAATCGCTTGAACCTGGGAGGCGGAGATTGCTGTGAGTCGAGATCGCGTCACTGCACTCCAGCCTGGGTGACAGAGCAAAATTTCATCACACACACACAAAAAATATATAGAATCAAAAAGAAGCAGCCATCACTCTATTATTCATTAGCCTATTCTAATTTATATTTGAAACTTTTACTCTTTTACCCTTTTTGATAATCTAAACTTTTATTTAGATTATCAAAATACAGTGAATCTGATTTTCTCATCCTGTCTGGAAGGATATATTAATAGAAAACTTTGTCTTCTCCTTGCAGATACTTCCTTCTAACTAAACTGCCCTCTCAAGTTAGTAGGTTTTTTGTTTTGTTTTGTTTTTGAGAAACAGATGTTGTTCTATTGCCCAGGCTGGAGCACAATGGCGCCATCATAAATTATTGCAGCCTCAAACTGTTGTGCTTAAGTCATCCTCCTGCATCAACCTGGCAAATAGCTTGGATTTCAGATGTGCACCACTGTGCCTGGCTATTTTTATTTGTAGAGATGGGGTCTTGCTATGTTGCCCAGGCTGGTCTTAAACTCCTAGCCTCAAGTCATCCTCCTGCCTTGGCCTTACATAATGCTGAGATTATAGGCGTGACCCACTATGGCCAGTCAAAGTACGTGGTCCTTAAAACTACTCACACAGTGATGGTCCAGCCAGTCTGTAGCCGCTTGTGGCCTGAATGCACTCACTTCCCAGACCACGGTCTTTCTGAGTCCCTTTACAATGACAATGGAGATCACCACTTTGCAAGTCTCCAGAGGGGATGCAATTGCTCCTTACTGCTTATTCCTAGAGAGACCTGTATGAACCACTCGTATGTAGCCCTGACAGTCCTCTGCAATCCTTCCAAAAATCCCTCTCTGATAATATGTGCCGCAACCTGGAACATCCCCTCTTGTACAGGACCTTGCTGATTGTTATCTCCAGCTCTCCCTTCACTCTTCCTGGTGATTATTATTATTTTTTCTTTTTCTTTTTCTTTTTTTTTTTTTTTTTTGAGATGAAGCCTTGCTCTGTCACTAGGCTGGAGTGCAGTGGCGTGATCTTAGCTCACTGCAACCTCCACCTCCCAGGTTCAAGTGACTCTCCTGCCTCAGCTTCCTAAGCAGCTGGGACTACAGGCACGTGCCACCATACCCAGCTAAGTGTTGTATTTTTTAGTAGAGACAGGGTTTTACTCCATTGGCCAGGATGGTCTCAATCTCTTCACCTTGTGATCCACCCGCCTCGGCCTCTGGAAGTACTGGGATTACAGGTGTGAGCCATTGTGCCCGTCCTAATCTTCCTTAAGAGCAATAGCACCTGTGTATTATGGTTGGTTATGTATGGGTCTGTCTCTCTTGCTGGCCCTAGATGAGAAGCTTAGTAAATATGTACTCGGTGGATACATGAATGCATGAAAAAGACAATTCTCAACCTTAATAGTGATGTTCAGCCAGGCATGATGGGTCAGGCCTGTAATCCCAGCACTTTGGGAGAGGAAGGTGGGCGGATCACCTGAGGTCTGGAGTTTGAGACCATCCTGGCCAACAGAGTGAAACACTGTCTCTACTAAAAATATAAAAATTAGCTAGGCGTGGTGACATGTGCCTATAATCTTAACCACTTGGGAGGCTGAGGCAGAAGAATCGCTTGAATCCAGGAGGCAGAGGCGGCAGTGAGCTGAGATTGTGCCATTGCCCTCCAGCCTGAGTGACAGAGCGAGACTCTGTAAAAAAAAAAAAAAAAAAAAAAAAAATTATGATGTTCAGGAATGGCCCAAGACAAAGTTTTCTGAGATTTCAGAAATACCTTCCTTTAATTACTTCAAACATTAGAATCTGCCCTACTTCCCCCACCAGAAGGGTTCCATTATGTCTGCATTTCTATGCCATGTATTCTGTCTAAAGTGCTACATATATTATCTATTCTTCACTACAACCCTGGAGGCTGGTATTATCTTTCCATTTTATCTCTGAGGATCTTTGAAGCTCAGAGAGATAAAAGCAACTAGCCCAAGACTTGGTATTAGCAAACGGATTGGATTCCAGATGTGTCTCACTCCAAAGCCTGGTACTCTTTCTACCATACTACATTGTCTCCAGAAAGAGGACTGGCACATGGTGAGGCCTGTTATCTAGACGTACAGTCTCCACAGGTGTACATAGGTGGAACCACAACACTTTTACTAATAGGTGGTACTGTCATGGGGCATGGGAGAAAGTGGATGGTGGAGTGTGTCTTGAATGCAGCAGAAGAGCTGCAAATGTCATCACCAGCTTGTCATTGATATTTAACTTTCTTTACATTCACGGGATTGCTCGTAATAAACAATTAAACCTACCTGGGAGGAGCAGGCCTCAGTAGTGATTCATTTACATCTTATATCACTCATCAGTCCAAGCCCAAATGATATAGGTTTGAATATTGAGTTTAAGGAAGAGCAAACAAAAGTCCTGAGGAACTGGGAGGAAGAAGATCCAGTTAAAAGAAAGGTGGGTGAGGCTGGGTGTGGTGGCACACGCCTGCAATCTCAACTATTCAGGAGGCTGAGGCAGAATTGCCTGAACCCAGGAGGCAGAGATTGCATTGAGCTGAGATCGGCCCACTGCACTCCAGCCTGGGCAACGGAGTGAGACTCGGTCTCAAAAATAAATAAATACATACATAAATAAAAGGTGGGTAGACCCCAGAGACAAAAAGTTTTGCTCAGTGTCAGAATGAAAAGAGAAAGGAATAATTTATGAGTTAATTCTAGGTGTTCAGATTAAATGCTGAGTGAGTGAGATCAAAGAGCTTGCAGAAGGATAACAGGTGGGAGACATACAACCAAGGTAACTTGAAAATACTCTTTTCAGGCCAGGCGTGGTGGCTCATGCCTGTAATTCTAGCACATTGGGAGGCCGAGGTGGGTGGATCACCTGAGGTCAGGAGTTCAAGACCAGCCTGACCAACATGATGAAACCCATCTCCACTTAAAATACAAAATCAGCCAGGCGTGATGGCACATGCTTATAATCTTAGCTACGCTAGAGGCTGAGGCTTGAACCCAGTAGGCAGTTGCAGTGAGCTGAGATCGCACCACTGTACTCTAGCCTGGGCAACAAGAGCAAAACTCCATCTCAGAAAAAAAGAAAAAAAAATACTCTTCTCTTACCATCAAGAAGTAGGATACTTACTTTTCTTGGATACTGTTCTACTATCTCAAACTTATGCTTGGGCTTTTTTTCTGATGAGTTCAGATAGGCACTAAAAATCTTTCTCAACAGTGATACACATTATTTATGATTCTAACTTTACAACTCATACTCTGAGAGTAGCAACTTCCAACTTCACCTGGAGTAAACATGAAAGAAAGGCTCAGTAGAGTTCCTGGATGCCTTACACAGGAGCCATTACTGTAAAATGAAACGTCAAATATATGTTTAAAAGAAAGAAGGGGAGGCCAGGCATGGTCCACATGGTTCATACCGTTTCTCCCAGCACTTTGGGAGGCCCAGGAGGGTGGGTTGCTTGACCTCACAAATTCGAGACCAGCCTGGGTGACATGGTGAAACACCATCTGTACAAAAAATACAAAAATTATAGGGCATAGTGGTGCGTGCCTGTAGTCCTAGCTATGCAGGAGGCTGAGGTGGGAGGGTGGCTTGAGCCCAGCAGGGGTGAGGTTGCAGTGAACTGAGACGGCACCACTGTTCTCCAGCCTGGGTGATAGAGCCAGACCTTGTCTCAAAAGTAAAATACAATAAAATTAAAGTCTTAAAAATAATTATAATAAAAAGATTGGGGGCTGTATTCAAAGTGCAACTTGAATCTATGCTCTAGGGTTGGGATGAGGGGTGGGTGGGAAGGCACAGGGCAAGGCTGTAACATCTTTCCAAGCATTTAATATAAAAATCATCCCAGATTTTTGCTAGTATCTGCTAGTAAGATGTATATTACTAGTACACTTATGTGTGTACATACATATATATAGTGTGTATATAGTATATCCATATATTTCCAGTATATGTATGTATGTGTATACATTATACATTATATAGTATACAGCGTATGTTACATAGTAATATACAGTATACATTAATATAATGTATACACACACACATATACTAGTAATATATATACTATATATAGTATATATACACTATATATAGCATATATACTAAATATATATATGTATTTTAAATTCAGACAATTTGTATTATTGTCTGGTATTACTGGTATTATTCTCCTAGACATGTGTTATTCACAGAAATGTGCTAAAGTATCTTTTTTATTTTTCTTTTGGAGCTAAATTTTATTTCTTATTTGCTTATTTTCAGACAGGGTTTTGCTCTGTCACCCAGGCTAGAGTGCAGTGTCATGATCATGGCTCACTGCAGCCTTGATCTCCTAGGTTCAAGCGATCCTCCCATCTCAGTGCCCCCTTCTCCCCGCCAGCAGCTAGAACTACAAGTGCATGCCACTCTGCCAAGCTAATATAAAACATTTTCACTTTTTGTAAAGATGGAGCCTTGCTATGTTGCCCAGACTGGGCTTGAACTCCTGGCCTCAAATGATCCTCCCATCTTGGCCTCCCAAAGTGCCGAGATTACAGATATGAGCCACTGCACCCAGCCTTGGAGCCAAATTTTAATTATTTATGAGTCATATTTTAAATATAAGAGATTGCTATTTTAAGAAATGAAAAGAAGAATTTTAGTGTTTTGTTTATTTATTTTGAGACAAGGTCTCACTGTGTCACCCAGACTGGAGTGCAGCAGCATGATCACAACTCACTGCAGCCTTGACCTCTTCAGATGTCTCGCCCAGGAGTTCAAGACCAGCCTAGGCAATATAGTGAGACGCTGTTTCTACAAAATGTAGAAAAAAATTAGCCAGGTGTGGCGGCTTGTGCCTGTGGTCCCATCCACTCCGTGGGAGGATTACTTGGGCCTGGGAGGTCGAGGTTGCAGTGAGCTGCGATTACACCTCTGCACTCCAGCCTCAGCGACAGAGCGAGACCCCGTCTAAAAATAAGTCAATAAATCACCCAATCTGTGATATTCTTTTATAGCAGCAAGAAAAACAAAGATAATCTGGTAGATGCATGTTTTGGTATTTTTAGGAGGTTTACACCTGTATAATATAGTAGATTTTTTTTCTTATTCTAAAATAACTTATTAGTAGAAGTTAAGTAAAAGCAAAAAGATGCCATCGTTTTCATTTTTTAGTAGGTTCAGTGAAATATTTGTGGAAAGATAGAAACACCTTATTGAGTCTTTCTTAATATTGTCCAAGTTTTTAAGTTTTTTGACAGAAAGATCAAGATAAAAACAAGATTATTATTTAGTTTGTATTTATGAGGAGTGGTAATTTTTTGTCATAAAGGAGTTAATAACTGGGTTTAGTGGTGTGAGGCTCTAAGCAAAAGCGTTTTTAAAATCAGAAATTGCCTGATGGGAGAACAATGCATATCATTAGATGCAATTGCTGCATAAATGGTCCTTTTGTTTTAGAGAGTGCAGTTTATAGTGATTGAAAAAAATCCCATGTGTCATTTTCATTGTTTGCTCCATTTTTTTGCTTTCTATGTAATTTAATCTCACAGAAAAGAAAGAATAAAAACTATTTTCAGGTGCATCATTGTATCTTCTACAGATTCTTGAATTTCTTTAAGTGTTCTCCAGTGGGTGTATATATATATATAAATAAAATATATATATGTATATATATATATTTTTAAAAATGAGAGTCAAAGAAGGAGAATGACATCTCTTTTGGAAGCAACCTCTGATTTGATTAAATGTTACGTTCTTTAAAATGGTAAAAATGGCTTTCAATCACATTTTGGGTTTATTTCTAGCCACTTGCCAAAGCAAGCCTTATTGAAATTAGGAGACATAATTATATTTCATATTTCCTAGGGCTGTTTTTTCAAAACCATAAAAACACAGATATATTGCAGTCTGCCACACAAACATTAAAAAAAGCAACATAGGGCCGGGCACGGTGGCTCACTCTTGTAATCCCAGCACTTTGGGAGGCCAAGGCAGGTGGATCATGAGGTAAGGAGTTCGAGACCATCCTGGCCAACACAGTGAAACCCTGTCTCTACTAAAAATACAAAAATTAGCTGGGCATGGTGGAGGGGACCTGCAGTCCCAGCTACTCAGGAGGCTAAGGCAGGAGAATCACTTGAACCTGGGAGGCAGAGGTTGCAGTGAGCCAAGATCACACCATTGCACTACAGCCTGAGTGACAGAGCTAGACTCCGTCTCAACAACAACAACAACAACAAAAAGCAACATATGTGATGGAGTTCTCACTCTCACTGCATTTTCCGATGTCATTTTGTCAGTGTTTGGTTTTTTACTTGTGTGAAATGAATTGGGAAAAAAGTCAGCACGTTCTCATTTTGAAGAAGCAAGCCTTTGATGCTGCATCAATTTCTGAATGGTGCAAGGAGGTGGAGTGTGGGAGTAAATGGGTACTATAAACATTTAGCTAGGTCAAGCATGATGGCTCACGCCTGTAATCCCAGCACTTTGCGGGGCCAAGACCAGTAAATCAATTTAGGTTGGGAGTTTGAGACCAGCCTGGTCAACACAGTGAAACCGCATCTCTACTAAAAATACAAAAAATTAACTGGGCCTGGTGGCATGTGCCTATAATCCCAGCTACTCGGGAGGCTGAGGCACAAGGGTTGCTTAAACCTGGGACGTGGAGGTTGCAGTGAGCCAAGATTTCACCACTGCACCCCAGCCTGGTGACAGAGTGAGACTAGGCCTGGTGGCTCACACCTGTAATCCCAGCACTTTGGGAGGCCAAGGTAGGCAGATTACAAGATTGAGATTGAGATCATCATGGCCAATATGGTAAACCCTGTCTCTACTAAAAATAGAAAAATTAACCTGACATGGTCACCCATGCCTCCTTAGTCCCAGCTATTTGGGAGGCTGAAGCAAGAGAATTGTTTGAACCCGGGAGGCAGAGGTTGCAGTGAGCTGAGATCACGCCACTGCGCTCAAGCCTGGCGACAGAGTGAGACTCCGTCTAAAAAAAAAAAAGAAAGATTTAGTTAAAGTAACATTCAAAGGATCTAAGGGAAAAGACAAGGAAAATACTTTGCATGGAGTTTAACCATAAACCCATAGATAAGGGGAACAGAACTGTTGGAAACAGATGCTTGGTGCTGAAAAGAAAAATTAGCACTGAGACCAAGGCTCTTTCAGCAACACAATTTTTACCTCCTGGACTGCAGGAGGGGTACCCTCGCTAGCCATCTTGCTATGAGAGTATGATGAACAAAGGAAAACAGACATATTTATCCCTTACACATTTGGGGTCCTCCTTACTGCTGTGTCTAATCCTCTGTTGGCTGGAGCCGACCTCACAATCTAAACTATAACCCAATTGGCTAACAACTTAAAACTTTTCTTTTCTTTTTTTTTTTTTTGAGACAGAGTTTCGCTCTTGTTACCCAGGCTGGAGTGCAATGGCGCGATTTCGGCTCACCGCAACCTCCGCCTCCTGGGTTCAGGCAATTCTCCTGCCTCAGCCTCCTGAGTAGCTGGGATTACACGCACGCGCCACCATGCCCAGCTAATTTTTTGTATTTTCAGTAGAGACGGGGTTTCACCATGTTGACCAGGATGGTCTCGATCTCTTGACCTCGTGATCCACCCGCCTCGGCCTCCCAAAGTGCTGGGATTACAGGC